GTAACAGCAGAGCAAAGCACAGTGGGGCCGGAGCAGTGGGTGTGACAGGGTGGGGTGGAGGCGTGGCACGGGAAGGCGGGCAGGGCTGCGGCCTGGAAAGCAGTAGACGCTCCTGCCCCAGGGCCCGGGAGCTGGGCGTGTGGCAGGGGCAGTGTGAAAAGTCCAAGGAGGGACGATCTGGAAGCTAATCAGAAAAAGCATAGTGGATCTGGGAGTAAATTTAAGAAGAGCTGGGGAGGCCATCTAACCCCTGCTCCAGGAGGAGAGTCCTTTAATAAGGAGTGGCTGTGCCTCAGCTCTTTCCTAGAGTTTCCCAAAGGGTGGGCCAGCTTGGGAGTCCCTGTGTGAGGAGGCAGAGCAGCGTACAGGCTGAGGTCACAAGGGGAGGACACTCAGGGTCTGGTGGGCCAAAGCCACCATGCATAGTCAGCCCTGTGCCTCGCTGGTGCAGGCCCAGCCATCTCCAAACACATGCCACTCATGGCCGCCAAGATCCATCTGCAGAGACCCTTGCTGAGCTGGTCATCAGCCTCAAGTTCATCATCATCCTATTACCACTATGCCCAATCCACAGCAAACAGCTGTACTCACAGTGCCAGGCCTGTCCTCAGCACTGAGAGGCACTGTCACACCTGCCCTCTCTAACTCCAGAAGACAAGTATTATTCCCACTTTACAGATGAGCAAACTGAGGCTGGGAGAAGAGTAGTGACTTGCCCAAGGTCATGTAGCAAGGATGTGATAAAGTCTAAACAAATCTGTCCCATGCTGAAGGCTTAGCCTCAGCCACCCCCCATTATGACAGGACTGAACAGCTTCTATAACTTTCAAGGCTCTTCCACACCCACCATTTCTCTTGACTCCCACATCATGTTGATAGGCAGGCATTGCCCCCATTTTATGGCTGAGAAGGTTGAGTCACAGAGAAGGTAGGTGAGTTATCCATGATAGGTGGCTCCCCTTAGCCCAGCCTTGTGTAAGGAGGGGGGAAGGAGGTGAGCAGAGGAGGCAGATGGAGGAAGAGAGGTCTGAGGCCTTGATGAGCACTGGGAGATTTTGCCCAAAAGGGGGCAGCAGCTCTCTAAGAAAGGAGGCGAAAGCTCCAGAGAAGGCTTTGTTCACAGCAGGCAGTCCTGGATCTGCTGCCGCCACCATCAGACCCTGGGTATTATTCTCTGGAGGCCAGTGGGAGCTCAGGCTCAGGCCAGGCAGACCAGAGCCCCGAACAAAGATGCAGCCCAGCTCCCAGGAAAAGCACGGCCGTTTCAGGCTTTGATAGCTATGGTGGCACTTGCATGGCCGCCATTAAACTTCCTGAAGCCAAGGGGAGTATGCTTTGGAAGTCCAGTCCAGGCTGGCTCTCGCCTGTCCTCCCCTTGCAAATTCTACAAACATCCAGGAGATGAAAGCAGGGATCTCTCTGGGGCAGCAAACACAGAGCTCTTCAAAGAACCCTTTCCATCAAGAATGGGGAGAGAGGCCTCTCTCCAGGAATGTATTTATATACCCGTGTGCGTGCGTACAGCCCCCATGCCGCGGCCAGGAACGTCCTGGGACATGGGCAGCACTCTTGCCACTGGTCTGGTGGCACGGCTTCTGCTTCCCACGGCCCCTGCCTCTCAGGCTCTGGTGCTTCTGGTCCCTTGTGTTCGTCCAGCCCCAGGTTCTAGGTTCAGGCCTGAGCTCCTTGAATGGTTTGCAGATCCCTGGTCTCCGAGGGTTTCTCTTCCTGAAAGAAGCCATCCGGCTGGTTGCTCACTAACCAATCTGGTAACCAGGTTCCTCCTCCAGGCCTGGTCTCCTCACCTGCTGTATCACCAGTCAGTTCGGCTGACTCGCATCATCTTCTGGGACCAGGAGGACCAATCAGACTGAACCACGTCTCATCCAGCCGGGCAGAGCTGCTTGTGGGGTTTGCAGCTGGGAAAGGGCTCTAGCTGCCACTGGACAGCTGGGGAGTCTATGCCAGAGAGAGGAATAACTTGTTAAAGGTCCCTGATGTTGGGGCCCCTCTCTGACAAGACAGGTCTCCTGATGCCCGCCCACTTCCCTATCCACTGGAGGCCACAAGTGACCCGAGGAGCAGAAGACCTGGCATGAGCTGCTGCCCTGCTCACACCCCCAGCGGCCTCGCACACCAACCATTCCTGGCATTTTTGCTGTCCCAGCCCCCTTTCTTTTACATTTGGTTTCGTGGCACATTATCTCCTCATCTGCAGGGTGTTTTATAGCGCGATGTCTTTTTAACTAAGGTAAAAGACAATGAACACACATCTTTTTGAAATAACCTCATCCCACGTGGTTGTTGCTGGCACCCTGGGGTGCACTGAAGTCAAGGTAGATAATTACTCTTCTCTACTGAGTCAATTAAATATAACAAACAACCATCACCAGGCCTCTGTGGGTTCCTGTGGCTTCCTGCTGCCCTTTCCGTCTCCTTCCCCGCCCCTCCTCCCAGCTTACACGGGACTGGGCCATAGGACAGAGAGAGACACGGGCCCTGGGCCTGGGCAGCATCTGGGGTAAAGTGGTTTTTCTATCTGGCCCACTTTTCTGTCTGTTTATGATCAGACAGTGATGCTCTGTCCAGGCCTGGGATGCCGTCTCCCTGGACACGCGGTTATTCTACACGTACGTCGCAGATTCCTTGCTGTGGGGCGTAGCTGGTCTGCAGCCTTCTCTCCATATGGACATATGGGATTGTTTTGGCATCGTGTCATTGTTGGCCAACTTCTATAAACCTGTGAAATGATTTCCCAATTTTAATCCGAAGTTTGGCCTTTTTAGAGAGGAGGCTGAGTGTGGGGAAAAGAAATTCAAAGTCAGTGTTGTTTATTGGACTGCTTGATTTGTATTTCAAAAACACGAAACGGAGAGAGGACGGGATGCTGTGTTCAGCTCTTGTCCATTTTATCAGTTTCAGTTTTCTTTGATCCTTCAGTTCCTGAAGCAAGACCCTTTTAACTCGTGTTTCTTTCTCCCTGGGATGCGGGCAGGGCTGGGCCGGGAACCTGCAGCAGACCTGCCGGCTCGGTACTGGTGCTGCGTGTGCCGGGCCTTTCTAGGGGGCTTCTGTTGCTGTGCCCTGGAGCTCACAAGATGAACTCCAGTCAGTGTCACTGTCATTGAGAGGCTGAGGTTCGAAAGGCCCAAGCAATCCTCCGAAGAGTCCCTCAAAATGAAGTTACTAACAATCCTCTAATCAAAACCCCACTCTTCAACCCAAGGGTTGATTCAGTTGATAGCAGCAATCAACACTCTTAAAGAAATACAAAATGAATCAATCACCTCTTCCACTTTTTTTATTGAAAGTCTCTTGCATCCACACTCTAGTTTCTTTTAAGGATGGCTTTACTTCAAAGAGGTCTAAGTGTGTGAACGTCACCGGATCACGTGACTGCTTGGGGAGGTGGCTAGAGCACGCAGGACTGATATTGAGATGCAGAAGAAATGGCTTCAGCCACTAGATTGTCCTTCCCGTGCCCAAATTGTAAGTCCCTTGGGAGTAAAATGAGGGGCAGTGTGTCTGCTTCTTTTCTTTGTAGTGGTTTCCCAAGAATTGTGTGTGTGCACGTGCGTGCGAATGTGACTGTATCCTCCTTCTGAACTGCTGGACTTGTCTGCGGGTGGTTGGACATTTCCACTTTTCTTCACTTCTGTGTATGTCTTTTGCATCAACTGATCTGCTGTCGTTAGAAGAAAGACTTAGGCTGGAACGTCAATCTCAGAGACCAGGATGAGCCACACTGCCTGTGTTGTAAACACGGTTCTTCAGTATTTGTGTAATTCAGAATCCTGTGCTACTTGTTGCAAATACAGTACCAAGTCCTTTGTCCCCCCGTCATAGCGTCTGATCCAGGGTCTGTGATGTGCCCCAGGAGTCCACCCTTTCATCGGTCCTGCAGGAGATTCCGATACAGATGGTCCAGAGACTACATTTTGAGGCTTGTGATCACATGGTTTGTGGATGAGTTTAGAGATGACTAGAGAAGCAAAGGAACCAACCTCGGCTGGCTGGCTAGTTAGAGCAGAGCCCAGACTGGAGCCCGGCATTCGCTCTGAGCTTTCCCATAGCCTTCGATGTCAGAGAGCAGAGCAGGAGGAGCGGGGCTTGCTTTCAACAGGATGGTTTAAATAAGATTCAGAGAAGAACTCCGGACACAGAAGCGTAGTGCTACGGCGGAAGCCGTAGCATCTCCTTACCGGAGGGCCCTAATTCAGCTCAGACTCTCGTCACAAGTGGGCACTTGCAGTGTAATTAGGAGCAAAGAGAAAGGGAGGAAAGCTCTTCATCACAGATTTCGGTTATTTGACACTGAAGAGATATGAGATCCTTCTTTGGTTTGGCCCGGGACACTTGAATTTCTACCTGGATGGCAGCATAAGTGGCGAGTGATCGTAGGGCCTGCATCCCAGCCCAGCTCTCTCAAGGACAGGCTGTGTCACATCCAGCCACTTGCTCAGTGTCTTCCTGGACTTCAGGGCTTCTCTGTGGAATGAATGGGGTTGCATCAGCTTGCTGCTAACTCCTGTGGTACAGCAGGTTTACTTTCCATAGTAATCTCTACCACCAGCACACTGAGGGGTCTTACTTTTCCAAGCACTTATTAAAGTTGTGTTGACTGAACAAATAAATAAGTTGAATCAAAAATACTCAATACGGAGAACTCAGCAGCCCGTCTTCCAGTTCTCACCTTCTGAGTCCCCGTGGACATTTTGAGACCGTGTATGAACATGCAGGCTGGGACCCCTCTTGGTTTTAAATCACTCGTGTATTTAAAGGGGTCTGGCTACAAATGAACATGAGTTATAACTTTAACATCTTGTCCTTTAAGAGTTAATTTTCAGATCTGGGCTATGCTCTGTCTCTGCAAAGTTATTCCCTGAGTGGATAAGCCAGTCTAGAGTAACATCTCTTCAACAGGGATAGCCTGTGGTGACAACTCCCTGTGTCCCTCTCATGCAGCTGCTCCGCTGATGGGTTTCCTCTGTTCCTTCCAGAAAGCAGATCTGGCTGTGGCAGGCCTCACTATTACGGCGGAGCGCGAGAAGGTGATTGATTTCTCTAAGCCCTTCATGACGCTGGGAATTAGCATTCTTTACCGAGTTCATATGGTAAGAAACTTATTTTATAAGCATTTGTGTCATTAAAGTGATTTGCATGCAAACACTGAGTTATATGGTAATAATGAATGACTCACAGAAATATTTAGGTTTCAAGACTTAAATGCAAATGTGCTGGGCTATATTTTCCCCCATCAGCTGCAGGATCTTGCGAACAGGAGTGAAAAAGTCACACTTGTAGCTTTCCAGTAACAATTTCTTCTGCCTCATAGCATAGGAGTGGCTGTAAGGGAAGGGTCAGCGCATCATATGTTGCACTGGTGATGGACCCTGTCATCTTCTGCTTCTTCCTTTCTCCTAAAGTCACCCCAGCATTCTCAAAGACTCCTTCAACCCTCGGTCCACTGTGTTTCCTCCATTCTCCTTCGTCTCTTGGTTGCTCGTGCTGGTGAACATAGAGCAGACCATGTAGTGACACAGGTACCTGGCCTTCTGCTTCCCCACTAAAAGAATAAAAAAGATTTCTCTGGGTAGGTCGCCCAGAATGAGTAGAAGAAAGAGGACAGACCAGCAGACCGCCAAGGACAAGGCTGACCCCTGAATGCCCTGGCTGGTGGGAGGAGCAGGAGACGGGTGATTCCTCTGATATGGGTTGTGCTGATGAGTTGAGTTATGTCCCATACATATGGAAGTCCTAACCCTAAGGACCTATGGGTGTGACTTTATTTGGAAATAGTCTTTGCAAATGTAATCAAATTTCGAGGAAGTCTTATGGGATATGGTGGGTTCCAACCCAACTACTTTTGAAATGACAGGAAGCTGGATGTGGTGGCTCACACCTGCACTCCCAGCACTCAATAGCTCCTGGGACTCAACAGCTGAGGCAGGAGGATCGTTGCAAGTTCCAGGCCAGCCTGGGCTACGGTGAGCTCAAGGCCAGCCTGAACTGCATAGCAAGACCCTGTCTCCGAAAACCACAATAAAACAAAATAAAATAAAATGACAGGAATTCAGGCACAGACCATGTGCAAGGGGAAAAGGCCACGTGACTTCAAAGGCAGACACTGAGTGACACATCTACAAGCTGAGGGGCACCAAGGGTTGCCAGAAACCACTAGAAGTGAGAGGAGACAAGAGGAAGCCGCCCCTGGAGCCCACAGAGTGTGTCCCTGCCGACACCTGACTTTGCCAGTCTCAAGAACTGAGGGATGAAACCTTTCTGTTATTTTAATCACCCAGTTATGGACTTTGGGAAATTAACACAGTTATGTTACGGGTTGCCTTTACTTTTAGAGATGAAGATCTGAGGTGTAGTTCCTAGGAGAAGGCCACATGGTAGTAAGTCAAAGAGCAGGGCTTAAACCTGGGCTGTCGCTGTGATCCCGCCTGCCGCCCTCCTGTGTGTGACCTTTGGGTAACTCATCTCATACGGCCCTTTGCCCATGCTTTCTCACTGCATCCTCAGCACTGTGCCCTGAGGAAACTGGGTCAGAATTATTATTCCCAGTTTGCAGATAAGGAAGCTGAGGTCTCCCCTGAGCTGACTCAGGGCAGGCCCTTTTCACCCCAGGACAGTGTCTTATTCAGTGTTACGTCTGCTGGTGCTCCCTAGAGAGTCTCCAGCCAGCGCCATCTCTCAGGTCCCTCCCACCCAGCTTCCTCCAGGGGAGCAATGTCCAAAAGAAGTGGAGACACACAGCCTTCTCCAGACCACCCTGCCGTGGGTACAGCAAGCTCTGGCTTTGATTTCCTCACTAACGCTGAGGGAGCTAGAGTCTTGCTGGTGACCTGATAGCCCCTCAGGACCTGTGGCTGAGGGCACCTGGCCCCAAGTGTTCATCACTCAGTGACACCTGCTTCTAGCAGCTGGGCTGGGTTATGTCACCTAGACTTTTGGCCAGCCACATTCCAGGTGTTGCTCTGAAGATATTTTGTGGATGTGGTTAATACCAACCATAAACTGACCTTCAGGAGGAGAGAATTCTCCCAAGGATGTGGGTGGGCCTCTTCCAGTCAGCTGAAGACCTTGACAAAGAAAACCTGAGGTTTTCTGATCAGCACGGGAGTTTTGACCTGCTAGGTTTCCGACCTGGGTCGGTTCACCCCTCCTTAGGCAACCTGGCGGTCCACCGCTCCCGGGAGGTCACCATATTGATGCCAAACTTAGTGAGGACACCCGATCGGCATAGCGCACTGCAGCCCAGAACTCCTGGACTCGAGTGATCCTCCCACCTCAGCCTCCCGAGTAGCTGGGACTACAGGCACGCGCCACCACGCCCGGCAACCTGAGGTTTTCTGAAGAAGGATTCTTTCCTATAACATAGAAATCTTATCTGGGCTTCTAGCCTGTTTCCCTTTTTGAAGTTGCCAGCTCCTACAACCATATGAGCCCGTTCCTTAAAATCCAACTATGTCCATATAGCTATGATATGATGTATGTCCAATTGTTTCTTTTCTCAGGAGCACCCTACCTGACTGATAAGGTCCCCTTTATGATCAGGACCCCTCTCTCCCCTTGGCCTCCCCACGGAGGCCCCAGTGTGCCACGTGGCTGCTCAGATCTGATTTATAATGAGGTCAAACAAAGTGAAAAATGAATGCTGGCATGAACAACTTACATTGAGCAGAAATGACACTTTATGTATTTACTCAACAAATATTTATCCAGCACATTCTGTATGTGAGGCTCCATGCTTACAAAGTCAGCTTGGGAGAGAACAATCCTGAATCAATGAAAGCAGACGAAACCGGTAAGAAGGAGTCCAAGATGAACTTTGCTGCATCTGATACAGCGAAGCTGTAGCAGGGATATCTATCGCTAAAATATAGGCGAGTACAGTCTACCAGGGAAGTCTAACTCTGAAGCTGCTTTGGGAAGCTGTCTTTCCTATAATAGGACTAAGACAATGCAATTAAAGTGAAAATTGGATGTTTATTATTTTGTAACTTTTCTCTAACAGATGATTTTCATGGAGCAAAAATATGACTCATTTAATATTATTTATAGTCCGTAAGGATTTAGAATCTCTTAGTTCTATGTGAGATCACCTGACTGATGAATAATTGTTAGCCAAAAGTGAGCATCTGGTGCTAATCAAATCTGTGTGCAAAAGTGGAAATAATTAACTCAAAGTGTAAATGCCTTGTTAAGAATTACTTTATTTATTTGTAACTGATAAACAGAAACATAGACATTGTACATATTAACGAGGTCCCGCATAATGCTCTGCTACGTATGTACTTTGCATAATGTAATCCCTGTTCAAGAATTATTGCCAAAGCCCCCAAAATAATAAGTGATGGCAAGTGTGCCTCTGAGGACTATAGATAGCCAGAAATAATTTGTGCATTTCCAGCAATCTAAGATTATCCGAGCTTTTTCATGAACATGGATCATCACGAGTTGATTATGGGATATTTGCCTTCTTTCCAATGTCAGGGTATAATCTCTGTTTCTGCTCAGGCGTCTCTAGGACCAAAATAAGAAGAATGTTTGTACCCTTTCACCGCCTACACCTTGCTACTTGACAGAGTAGCTAAGGAATTTGGTGTTGGCATATGTTGTTATTATTGATCCATCCTGCTTTCTCCATTCCTAGCATGCAAGAACCATTTTCTTGTGGTATTCCTCATACCTCTTCATCATTTCAGTTGGCCTCTGTCTGTCTGTCTCTCTTTCTCTCTCTTTTCTTTCCCTTTCCTCCCTCTCTCCCTAGATCATCTCAAACTGTGGCTCTAACCCTGGCCTCACCCCTGAATTCCAGTGGTATATTTGTGTTTCTTGCACACTCCTGCACCTCTCCACCTGAATGTCTCACAGGCACCCCCAAAACACTGTCTCAGACTGCATTCAGCATATTTCTGAGGCTCACTCCGCCTCCTCCTCCTCCTCCTCCTCCTCCTCCTCCTCCTCCTCCTTCCGGCCTGTCTCAGCTAAGGGCATCCCCTTCCTGTAACCTGAGCCTCCGTGGAGTATCCTCACCTCTCATCTCACTTTCGGAATAATTGCTCTCTGTGCAACCTCATTTTCCCGTCTCTAACCTGAGCTGCTGCCATTCCAGCAGACAGTATTCTCCTTGAGGGGAAAATGTCCCTCATTGTCCCCATCAAAGAGCTGCAGTCACCATGAGCATTTTCAAAGAAGCAGCAGAGTGAAGATGACGGAGTAAAGCCAGACTGCCTGCTTTTATACCCGGATTTGATCATTATTAACTGAGAGTCATACACGTGTCAGTTACTTCACGTGCAGAAATGAGCTGTCTTGTAAATGAAAGTGCATATGTGATGCATTTGTAACAGTGTCTGGCAAATGCACGATGAGGTGCTAAGCTATTACATTTAATAAATGTGTGGGAACCGCTGCTCATCCCAGTTCATCCTCCATCCACGGCCTGAGGGCAGCTTGCTTGCTTGCTGTACAAATGTAATCATATCGGCCTGCTACTCCAAACCATGCACTTATTACCCATCAGGTAGAAGAAAATGCTCAATCTCTTAGCATGGGGATAAAGCCTGAGCCTTCTGTCCCATCCCCACTTCTGCAGCTGCAGGGCCCTCAGCTCTCTGAGGCTTCCACTCCACCATCATGACAGCATCATCTTGCTCTCCTCATCCAGGTCACGTTTATCTTCTCAGCTCTAAACTACAAACAGACTCTTGGCTGGCCTTTGATACCCAGCTCAAATGACACTTGCTCTTCAACACGACTCCCCCAGATAGAGCTGGTTTTCTCTGAGCTTCTTCTCTCTGCCCGTCTATTACACCATTTTTAAGTTGTGTTTTAGGGTGCTTCCCCTGTCTGTCTCTCAGTAGACCCCTTGGGAGATACCCCTGTATCAGGCTATGGTTCTTACGACATGATTTTTAGTATGGAAAATGTGATCATTCTAAATGTACAGTATTTATTTCATAACATGAAAGAGAAGAGAGAAAAAGGGAGAGGAGGAGAGGAGAGGAGAGAGAAATGCAGAAAGCAGGTCAGAAATCCAGCAACTGGGATCAGGGAACACCATCCACTCCTCTGTGGTTCTGACTGAGCAGCGCTGAGTCCC